ATTATGGATGATTCCATTGATGTAAGAGAGGTGGGTGTAAAAAATACCTTTGAACATGTAAATATAATTCACTATTGGTCTTTTTTTGTTTGCTTTTTGTTTTAAATGTATTTTTCTTTTATATATAACTTTGATATTTTTTTAATCCATTAGGTTCCATAAAGTCAAAGTTAAACACGGAACATCAAAATAATTGACATGCATTATAAGAGATTGTGGTCAATGCTGGCTTTAACCTCTTGAGTTTAATGGATGTAGAAATGTTTTTAGTCAATATTATGAGGTTTCTTAACATGTCCATGTTTAACTAACAGATCTTAAGTTAAAAAGAAATATAAAATGGAAATGAAGGTTTCATCTTTAAAAGCACTTGTGGCCACATAAAATGCCACGGCGGGCCACGTTTGGCCCATGGGCCTTAATTTTGACACGTGATCTAGGAAGTATTTTGGACAAGAGGGCACTAAGCACAAGATTTTGTTAGTAATTTTTTTGCAAAGCATTTTTAAGTAATTTTCCTATTTCTAATCTCAACATCTAATCTAACGTAAATAACTTAAATGCATTTTTTAAATTTGTTCTTACCTGTTCCACAGAATCAGCAAACAGCCATGAGAAGCAGCACTTTTTGGACTTTGCTTCGTTCCTGAGCAGACTGGGACCTCACCCCTTCATTCCTGCAGTGCTGGGAGTGGTTTCAGTGCAGCCGCCTCTATCTCTGGTGGTGGAGGAGATGAAGCACAGAGACCTGCTCGGCTTCCTGTGGACCTGCAGACAGGTAGCGCTGACCCACACAGACACAACACACAACAAGAAAACACACACCTTTTGTCTCGTTTCTTTCTGAACCATCTGCAATTAGTCTGAAGTTCTGCTGGTCTAAATATGTCAAAAAAAAAGACAAAACAAATCTTATTTCAGACCTCAGTGCGTCAATTCTTCACGTTTAAGTCAGGATTTGCATCTCTGAAAGTAAACTCTTGTATTAAAAGATTTAAATTATTTAATGTTTGTTCTTTCCTGAAGGATAGCTCAAACTATGACATGACAGAGAAGAGGATTTTCACCATGGCAGGACAAGTGGCCTCTGCTCTGGTTAGTCC